GCCTTAGCCAGTTGAGCTATAGGCGCTGAGCCAAGAAAGCATTTCTGACATTGAAGACAAAGCTTTTGAATGCTCCAATGCACTCAAAGAGGAAGAGAAATGGAGAGTAAAAACAGAACATTCTCTCAGAGAGCGCTGGGATAATTTGAAGAAAACTAATATTCACCTTACAGGAATCCCTGAAGGTGACGAATTTGCTTCACAAAACTCAGAGATTCTTCTTCATGAAATAATGAAAGAGAACTTTCCAGAAATGCCAAGAGATTCTGAAATTCAGATAGCAGACAGTTTCAGAACTCCAGCATGACTCAAAATGAATAAGGCATCCCCCAGGCACATCATAATTAACTTCACTAAAGTTAATATGAAGGAGAAAATTCTGAAAGCAGACGTAACAAAACCATAACCTACAAGGGAAGAATATTAGAATGACTGCAGATCTCTCTGCTGAAACCTTTCAAGCTAGAAAAGGGTGGTCATCAACTTTTAATCTCCTAAAACAAAATAACTTTTAACCCAGGATCCTGCTGGGATCCAGCTAAACTGAGTTTCATTTATGATGGCAAAACTAAATACTTTAATGACATTCACATGTTGAAGAAATTTGCCATAACTAAACCAGCACTCCAGGATATTCTCAGACCTATCCTCCATAATGACCAGTGCAATCCTCCACCACAAAAGTAAGCTCACTCAGAAATTTTGATCAAATTCCAACTTCCACAGTGGCAAAAGGATTAAAAATGTCCACTGGACTTTCAAAAACGTGATACCCAAAATTTTACAAGGCTTATCAATATTCTCAATTAATGTGAATGGCTTAAATTGTCCTCTAAAGTGGCATAGGTTGGCTGACTGTATACAAAAACTCAAGCCAGATATCTGCTGCATACAAGAATCTTATTTTACCTTAAAAGATAAATATAGACTCAGGGTGAAGGGATGGTCATCTATATTCTAGGCAAATTGAAAGCAGAAAAAAGCAGGTGTTGCAATTTTATTCGCAGATACAATAGGCTTTAAACCAACAAAAATAAGCAAGGATAAGGATGGTTACTTTATATTTGTTAAGGGTAATACTCAATATGATGAGATTTCAATTATTAATATTTATGCACCCAACCAGAATGCACCTCAATGTTTAAGAGACACAATAACAGGCATGAGCAACTTGATTTCTTCCAGCTTCATCATAGTCAGAGATTTTAACACTTCTTTGTCAGTGTTGAATAGATCCTCCAATAAGAAGCTGAGCAAAGACATTTTAGATTTAAACTTAACCATCCAACATATGGATTTAAGAGACATCTACAGAACATTTCATCCTAACAAAATTGAATATACATTTTCTCATCAGCCCATGGAACATA